CGTACCATTAGTCCATATTGGGTACACACTTTACTTTACTCACTGCTTTTTCCCCTCTAACTCATTAACATTCTTCCTTCTAACCATATTCCATTGCAGCACCTTCATGGCCATTACTGACAGTCACTGATTTGATTTACAAATACCTCAGAGGGGATCAGATGTTGCCAAAGAGACAGTAAGGCAACAGAGGGAAGCTGGGAACTGATATGAGAAAGAAGACAAAGGGAGAACGACAGAATAGAAAGAATGCAGAATATTGTTCTCAATAATAATAGAGACTAATAAGATGCATCTACCAGCACCTAACTGGCCGTACACTGATTTGTCACAGCTAGTCCTCATATGCTTTCTTAGACCACAAATTTTTCACAGTAAGATATATCCAGCTTGAGCTGTAAGGTCCTTGACTTTTTGCATACTACTATGCCTATACTTCTTACTGTAATAATAGAAGCTCTCTATCTCTTTGTTAGAGGCTGACAAACACCTCCTAAAGGAAATGCTAGATCAGCTTATCATTTTCAACATAATTAAAGACTCAATCATGAATATTCATGTAGGATCACGCTGTAAATATTCATTCCACTTATCAGAACACAGAAAAAAGTGGATCTCTAAACAATTTACTATATGACCTCTACACATAAGAAGTTGGGGTGTACATTCATCTGTTAGTGAAATCCTGAAACAGTTTGAGAAAGATGGAGCTTTTCTAAGAGGGAAAATACATGGTTGCAATCTGTTTATAAACTGCTATTTCTAAATGCAATGTTCCATTTGCGGAATAGTTGCTGACCACGCTTATCCAAATACCTTTGCAGTACATATGCACAGAAATAACACATTGGAATTTGACTCCTAATTACAGAAACTGGTTACTAATTTAACTATAAAGATCCCAGACCTCAAATTCCTGATCTCATGCCTTCTCAACTGTTCAAATAAATGGTTCATCTCAATGAAACTGAAAGCCATGTAATTAAGAGTTAATACCAATTATTTCTTTTCTCTAGTTACAAAGCAAATCATATCATTCAGTTGCCAGAATAATCAAATGCATTTCAGTATTAGGTAATTAAGAATTACATTAGCAAGAATACATTTAGTAGTTCATGAAATGATACTTTTACTATAAAAGTTTGTATTGAGGAACTGTAGTTTTATTGACCTCTGTAAAACAGACGTGATATCTATTCAGAGCAATTCCTTTTGCACTGAAAACCTACAGTACGAACACACAGCCCCAATCAGATGACTTACTGTGTTTCAATGACTGCCTCACATTTGCATTCATGGTTTTATTTATTTTTTGTTAAGCAGAAAGCCTGCCACTGGGATCGTTCAATAAAAGTTTAACCGCCCTGTGCTGTTAATTGTGCTTGTGCTCCATGTGGAGTGCTGGTTTCCTTCCTTGTACCAAGCACTGAGCGGAGGGACACAATGGGCGTGTTGTGCTCCATGCAGCACGGTATGTGCCATATCTGAACGGGAGGTGTGAGCTGGCTGTGTCACTGCTGCTCTTACCAGTGCCAGTACCAGAAAGCAATCAACCACAGCACTGGGGCATGCAGTCCATGGAAGCCTAGTGAAAAAGCTGCTCCTTATTATGACCTACATATTGCACAGCAGCAGTCAGACAATTTAAAGCTAGTTACGCTGAGGCTGAGCACAACGCATTAATTCCAATCACAAAGAATTCAGTGACTTGAGGTTTTCAAATACGTTTGCAAGTTTGATAATGTATCATATCCCATGCTATCCTGACAGCACAAAGCACAATGGAAAATGAAAACCCTTTATAGTAGGAAATGCAAGCATATGATTACATCTGCTACTGCATGCAATCTTTTGACTCTACAGCTGTGTTAGAACACAACACTAAAACAAGATGCAGTCAGACCGATGCACTCAGCCATCACTCCACACAAGTCTGTGACCAAACCATCCCTTAAACAAAGGTACCTGGCGAAGCTTATTTCTCGCGAACGGTTTTGCTCGGAACACAGTTTCACAAGGCAGAACCAGTCCCCGCAGAGCCGTACGTCTCCCCGGAGCCGGGATGCTCGGCAGCCTCCCTTTGTGCGGAGCGCGGCGGCACACCCTCGGCGCGCAGCCCGCGGGGTCGGCAGGCCGGGCGGGGTCGGGCCGGCACCTGCCCGCTGCTAACTGCGGGGCCGCCAGCCCCGGCTCAGCCCTCTCGGCGGGCACCGAGATAACGCCGTGGGGCTGCCTCGCCTTTACGAGACGAAAACCCGCTCGGCTGCCTGACAGCAGATATGCGGCGTTATCGCTCCGCATTCCGCCTCCGATCAGCCGACGGCAGCGGCAGTCACCGGCTTGTCAAAATGGCAGCTCCGACGCGCTAACCCGCTGTCATTACTCACTCGCGCGCCCGTTTCTTCTGAGTCCTCAGAGGAGACGCGTGTTTATTGCTCAGCAGAACCCGGCACGCCGTGTCACATTGTTTTCCACCAGCAAAATGGCTGGTCCGTTCAGCACCGCCGCCGCCGGCCCGCGGTGCTGCCCCGGCTTGCGGGAGCCATGGCAACAGCCCGCCGCCGGCCCGCCCAGCACGCACCGCCCGGCCCGCCCCCGGCCCAGCTCTGTGAGGGGCCGCGAGGGATCCGGGCCAGGGCGGTGCCTGCTGCGTTGTGTGAGCGTGTGCCGGCCAGCGCTCGCTGGATGCGCTGAATTTGGGCACGGGAGCTGTTTAATAGGGCGAAGCATCTGCGGTAAATCCCGATTTAGGAAAGGGAAAAGAAGCATTACACAAAGCAGCAACACAAAGGTGATGAAGCCCCACTCGTTTACCACAGAAGCTATCACAGTTACCCTTTGTTAGCCTTAATGGATTAAAGGTTGCTGCTTATTAGGCAAATTTCAGAAGACTGCACACCGTAATCACTTCATGAAACAGTTTTACCCTACTTAGAGTAACACATCTCAGTGCAGGGAGGAAAGAGGAGAGGAGGCAACTGCTGGTAAAAGTTTAACCTATGGGGTTGTGCCACCCCACACAAATAAGAGCTGGTAAAGTACACACACTTCTTCAACTCAGTATTATGAAAAACATTTTAAAACATTGTAAGTATTTAAGCATGCAGTATTTGAAACACAAAAACTGAGTATTGACTGAGAATGGTTCTGGTGCTTCAGGCTGCCTGAAGAGGTTGTGGATGCCCTGTCCTTGGAGGTGTTCAAGGTCAGGTTGGATGGGGCCCTGGGCAGCCTGGTTTAGCATTAAACGTGGAGGTTGGTGGCCCTGCATGTGGCAGGGGGGTTGGAGATTCATGATCCTTGAGGTCCCTTCCAACCCTGGCCATTCTGTGATTCCAGTCCCTTCCTACCCATTAATAGGAACTTGCGTAGTTTGTGCAAACTGTGGCCATTCCTTGTTCAGTCTCGCATACTGTAGAGCTACCAGCCCCAAACACAATGTGCAGACTGAGCTGTGCTGCTTCTCCATCCACCCAATCCCTATTTCTGATACCACGCACTCATGTTTCAGTATAATCACAAGCAGAGATCTTAGATCTACACATTTCTTTCCACGGTATCTTTACCCTGGTACTGTCATTTTAGTTCCTCTTGAAGTCATTATTACTTATTAGTATTAATAAATGAGAAGAAGAAGAGGAAAATTGTCTGTGGGATGCATACTTTGTTCCATGGTTACAGTCCAACAATACCTTCTGATCAGAAGTCTGCTGATTTGGCAACCTGATTCTGAAGCTTTTGGCTGGGAAACATTAAACTACTGAAGTAATTATTTACACACAAACTAAGTGTTATAACAGAACCACTCTGCAAGAATAGCATTTCACCATGTTCAGTCAACTTTTTTGTTAATAAGCAACATGAAGACAGTAGATCCAGTCTCTTGCTTCTCAGTGCACTGACACAATCACTGACTCTACAAAAACATTCTTGAGTAAGTGGAAATAAGTAAACTCTAAAGTGCTCTAGACTCTAAAGTGCTAACGTGCTGTGATGATCATTATAGCACTCTCTATAGGCAGGCTGAAATCTCAATTGATGAAAAAATAGAGGTAGCGAGTTTTAAAACAATAAGCTAGAGCTTGAAAAGTTTCATGATGCTTGTCCATGTCTATTTATACAGCATGAACATATAGTGTAAGTTCTGTATTATAGAAAAAAGGGCTCTTGAAGTTACTTTAAAAGAACTATTGAAGACAACAATGCAGTAATTCAATCTTCAGGGCTCAAGCTCGATGTTTTTAATACAGACATATTTCCAGTTAAAAGCAATGGAGCTTTTGTCTGTGGTACACATGCAGGACCCTTCAGTACCTTTCCTTCTCTTTGCTAACATAGACCATTAGGGAGAAGTTAGAAGAGACTTAATTGAAGAGCAGATTATGGCTCCAGGCCAGCAAATCTAAGAGAACCTAACCTGCTTGGGACTACTGAGAGGCTCCACAGATGCCTGAGAAAGTTTTGTTGCATCTTCTGCACATCCAGTCCATTTTTTTTCCTCCTGATAAAATCCACTTATATCATGGCACTAAGGGTGGAATGAGACACACAGTACTGCTGTCAATCTGGATAAACTGGACAAGTCCCACTGCTCAGGTGCAGTGATGCATCTGGGAAAAGTACAAGAAGTTGATTGAAATTGTGGCTGCCTGTCTATTGCCATCACATAAAAATTCTAGTTCAATTATATAGTGGTATTGCCCCCTGCAATAAGTATTTAAACACTTAAAAGGTAACCATTTGCTTGCTGTGGTCTAAACATGACTGGAAATAGAACATCAGCTAGTATCTTAGCACAGTCTCACTCAAATTGGGAATTTAATTGGAGTTTTCTGATCTTTCTTGTAGTACCTAGAGGATGGATGCCTTCTTCAAAAAAATATCTGAAAAAGCTCACTAGTCCTCCACTAGCCCATGGTCAACAGCCTTCATTTTGAGACAAAAATAATAAGCATTATTCTTAGCGTTATCTATAGATACTGTATCAGTATATCACTCACCACTGTGGTTTAGCCCTTCCTGCCATTTTTCTTCATAAGGTAGTTTCTGGATGTCTCCAGTAAGCTTCACAGAATAGAAAATTATACCTTCAATGAAACAACAACACAATCTTATGACCTTCCACCAATTCTGCTTGCTTACATTTCATTAAAATTCTGTTATGAAAAATAAGTTTAACTTCAGCAATTTTGCTACATTCCAAAATAGTTTTAAAAGCATGATCTATAACAAATAAGGGGCATTGACATCCACTGACAGGAAATAGCAAAAGAACAGAAGAACTAGCAAAAAACAGGTTATATTAAAGCTAGCATTTTATTTTCTGCTTTGCTGTAATTGTTCCTAGATATTTTCCTATTAGTGAAATATATCTGCTATTCAGTCCTGAATATCATTTGAAATTACAGATCTTTCAGAAACTCTTTCCAGTTGTGTAAGAAGTCAATATTATATTTAAATTGAAAGTTCTTTCATAAAGGCAAAATTGGACTGCTCTCACCATGATAGAAAAAGTTATGATTTATTAATAAAAAAATGAACTCCTCAATTGATTGTTTTATTTTGTTATTTTAATTGGTCAATTTTACTTAAACACAAAATATAAGCAAGCTGAGACATAAACTAATAAACATAATTTGTCCAAGGATGCAGGTGACCACAGGCCTGGAAAAAACATGATGTCCAGTTCCTTGGTCATCAGTATCAATAACCACTTGAGGCACAGTCTTCTGAAGAGCATACAGGAGTTCAGACATGTCAGGCAGTAATTGTACCAAAGGTGAAGCTTTTACATCCTCTATCTAGCTGAACACAGAGTTCAGCCCCAGCTGTTGGCTTTGTAATTTCAAGTTCTCGCAAATAATGATCAACTTTTGTACTGTTTGTTCAATGGGATATTTGGCAAAGATATTGTAGAATTCTAGGTAAGTCGTACACAGTAATGAGTCGATATGAGTTGAAAATGTGAGACATTCAAATAGAAGTATTAAAATGTATTTCAGAAATGCTTTCTAGAGAGTTTTGGGAAAGTTTTACCACAAGTATATCCTTATTACATAGTTGTCCTTTGAGACATGTTACTTACAGGAAGTAGTATAGGCATATAATAGGATAGAAGAGATCAGAAAAGTAACTCTGATTTTCCTAAGAATCAAATATTTAAAAGTATTAAAGGAAACCCTGAAGCCCTTTTGCAATTAAAGATGAAAGTGCTTTAGCCTAATAAGATTAGATCCCTGCAGTATTGTTACATCTTACTGCAGTGCTAGATTTTATTGAAATCCTCAAGCAATTTCCACACTATTTTCTCTCCCATTATCAATATTTTACTTTTTGATATAATTTCACTCAAAGGTAGCACTTAAGCTATGACTACCTATTCTCAAATATAGAATCTGACTAAATTATAATAAACACTTTTTTTTTTTAAAGTCTTTGCAGATATAGCTTTCAGTTACTTAAAATACAGCTAAAACTAAAGATGAAATCAACTGAAAAAGAGGTTCATTCCTTTCGTATTTGTTTGGTTATCAACTACTGTGATTAACATATCACTCATAACAATACCTAATTTCTCATCACTTTAAATGACTTCAACATAGTTATTCCAACAAAACATCTCACATTTTACACTAATTTGTGTAGATATCAGTTCACAAGAACCACAATATGAAGGAATATTCTGTTTCCAGTTCTTTAGGACAACATTTCAGAGAAAACAAGCGTGAATCCGAGTTCATGAAGAACCATGCTCTCCCAAAAATTAGTAGTTCATCTCTAGTTTTAACAGAAAAAAAGTTTGAACAACTTCCATGTGAACAAACGTTGTAAAGTTTATCCTCCCATTTCTTGAAATACTGCAGATACATCAACTGTAATCTAAAGTGAAACAAAAAATGAGAAGCAGCCACTGAAATACACTGTACTTTTAGAATATACTGAGTACATTGCCAAGACAGTTAATAGTTTATAGTTTTAGACAGTTTATAGTGAATAGTCCAACCAATTTATAGTTAAAAGTCTTCCAGTCCTGACTGTGCCGTGTACAGTTATTATTAAATTATTAAGTATTATTAAATACTTATGTTAATTTGTAGACTTAAACAGGAATTCAGATAAAGTCAAATTCCAAATAACATTTCACACCATCTAGTTTCCAGCACTACACAAAGTGAATTTTGCTCTCCATGCCAAACTACAGATACCTACAAGACTAAGTGACCTCCTCTCTAATTCTGAACAGTAATGCTATCAAAACCAAAACTGGGCCAATCTCACACTAAAGTGCTGAAATTTTAAGTGATTATAACAGAAATTGTACATGAGCATTTCTCATATACTGCTATAAGTTACTTGATATTTTTCACTCAGTCTCCAAGACTTTTCTCTTTCCTCCCCATTTATAATAAATGAATCCAAAACACTTACCATTTCCATTTTTATATCATCTATGACCTAAAAGCCTTATTCTGAGCTCTTACATACAGACCTTCCAAACAACAGCTTCCCCCTCTCCCTAGCAGTTCTTACTTTTCTTTAAGCTGTTGCTGAAGATTTGCAGCTACTTCTTGGGAGAACGGTTCTCTAGCTTCTGCTAGAATGGTTCAGGCACACAAACCCACATTTGGCAGTTCATTACTGTCTTTCCTCTGTCCCTTCGCTATCATTTTTTTTGCACCTTATTATCACTACATTTATAGAATACTCTTTCATACTCTACTAATTAGAGCATGCATTCCTTTTCTATTTGAGAAAGGACACAGTAACCTTTAATCAAGTAATGAGCATCAACTGTGAGAAAAAAAATGCATAGGAATGAAAGTTTACTGGTGAAAAAGCATAGTGGGATAATGGATTTTCAGGTGTTGCCCACACTTACTGGCAAAAATACTTTGCAAAAGATTTCCAGCATGTGTGGAGATCCTCACTAGTCTCACTTCTGGCTTATATAAAACAAAAGCCATCCCCAAAAATAAGAATCAATTCAAATATTTATCTCTTTACTGCACAACTTAGAATGTACAGAGGCAGCAGAATCATGTCTAACTTTTCTATATAGACATTATATTATATATTACTTTATCATATAGACATATGTGAGATCAAATTGTCACTTTCTACTCATTTTTCCCTTGTAGCCTCAACATAGATGTTTTCATATTTTTCTATTCCATGCACTACTGTCCAGAATACTGATCTATTTCTTAATATATACCTCTACCCAACCTAATTTTAAAAAATTTGACATAGGAAAATAAGGGAAAAAATTAGGAAAGTCAGTCCCAACTGATCTTTCTTGCTTCTGCTTCCTCAGTCCTGGGCCCCATACTTTCTACATTTCATGATGTTCAGGACCAGATGATAACCAGCTGACTAAAAATAAAGAACACTTTCCAAGGCTCTTAACTAAAGAACAAAAAAAAAAAAAGTTCTTGTCTGATTAGATTGGTTTATTAAGTGATAGAAAACTTGTTGGGCTAGTTCTCCCCACCTCTCACACTCCTTAGTGCTAACTGAAGTACATTTTAAAGTTTGTCCTTACTTACAGATTAGGATTCATACACCTTACGTACAGGACTTTAATCTCCCACACAGTGCTCCTAGAAAAATAGCTATTTGAATCCTAAGCTTAAAAGAATCTTAAAGAAATGCCATCAGCTATGGCACTTCAGATGACGGAAGCATAGAAAAGCATCAGTAGCAAATAGGTACAAAGCTAGAAAATAGACTATTTTCTGAAGTTCTTTGAAAGCCAGGAAGTTTAAAACAAGCTCATTTTAAAGTGGGCTTGTTTTATCAATTCTGAGAACTTTGCAGCCTCTCAGTATGCCGGATGAGGTCACAAATGAATTCCAAAACACCTCTGACAAAGTATAAATACCATAGCAGAGAATGTCTATGTCACATTAACATGTCTGTCTGGCATAGCTACAATAGCAAACTTGATAAGGTACCTATCAGCTTATCCACAGCATTCTTTTTGTGAAGAGGTCATTTCTTCTTTTGTTCTACAAAGTGAAGCAGTGCCAAAACATTCCAGAACTGATTAAACAAATAATAGCACCATCTACCTCTGCTAAGAAATTAACAGTCTGTACTTTTTTGCTAGCTTAATTATTTTCCTTAGAATAACACATCAGGAACTTCTGCACATCACTTGCATAACATGGCTTTTGTCCTAGAAGTGAATCTACTTATTGCGACTTCCAGATTCCAGTTTCCTACTAGCTGTAGCTATGATTAAGCTTCTCAAAATATACTTAACATTCATTTTCTACTTTTTCTTCAATAATTTTCAACTTCGTTTCAATTTTTGGTCTTGAAGAGTGCTGCATACAAAGCAGTAGGTATCAAATAACGACAAAGGATTATTTAAAATCTGCTGTCAGTTTACCAAGCACCTCACATTTAAGGAAATCATTTGTTATAGAATCTTGGAACTAGACTTGGTACTAAGAGGGAAGCTTGAAACATTACAAGAGAAACAATTCCACAGCAACATTAATCTTCACCTGTATTAGCCTGCAGTGTGGCCCTACATCAAATAGGGCTAACAGCATCCTGGGCTGTGTTAAGATGAATATTTCCAAGAGGTCGAGGCAAGTTATCCTTCATCTACATTCAGAGATGGGGAGGCCACACCTGGGGTGCTGTACCAGTTCTAATCTCTCTAGTACAGACAGCAGCAATTCTGCAAAAAAAATAACTTCTTAAGTTTTGGTTTTTAATTAAAGATCATGATTCGTTGTTCTGTGACAGAAACCCACAAAACTTTGATTTTTCCACAGAGGATTCAACTTAGATAAGCAGAAACCTGAAAGACAGCATCAGAAACTACAATGTAGAAGTGTTTGAATATTGAATTATCCTAGCATTGAGTTTTTAAGGAGGCAGCAGTGATGAGTTTGCTTAGCACTGCTTTCTGAAGGAAGCTGCAAATGAAGTGTAGTGTGGGAGGGTAAGAACTACTGTATTCATACACAAGAGGAAAGAAAAGACATCTCAAGTGTATTCATGATTTAGAAGCTCCTATCACAGATGTTGTTTCCATAGCAACGAAAACACTTCAAAGCTAGGCAAGGATTTTAAAGGACAGCACCACATACATTAAATATTAAAAGCAGATACTGTCTATCAAATGATTATTTGAGAATTGGACCAATGAACTGGCACAGTTCATTAGAGTTACCATTTGTTAAGAAGGTAAAAATCCACTGAGTGATCCACTAAAAATAGGATGGAAATAGTGAAAGAATCACAAGAAAACACCCTGGTACACAACATCCTGTTTTACAGCTCTTCTGCAGGCTAAATCTAAGATGAACAGCGCACTACCAGTTGATGCAGTTCTGCTTAGCACACTCACTACCAAAGGTGGCGTTCAACATAATCTCTCTCCTTGGATAGACTACATGGCATATGTGACCTCAGGAAAAGACAGGATAGAGAAGGCAAGAAGCAGTATGCATGGAACTAAGATCACAATGATCCAAGTAATTTGTAATATCTATCTTTTTATCACTTCCTTGTTTATGTAGCTGAAAGATTCAGTATAAGCCAGCCTTTTCTAGATAAAGCAACAAAACACAACAAACAAAATAACACATTACCAAAAAAATCCACTTGTACTATTAATAATGCTTAGCACTAGGCAAATGCTACAGAGAAAATGTACATTCAATTTTGCTGGATCAAGACCTTTATCAGTTTTTTCAACAGCAGATTGTTGTTGCTGCTGAACTGTTGACTGGCATATAATAATTAATTGAATACCTTCAGCTGAAAACCCCCATGTGGATAATTCACCTATTTATTATCATTTTTGAGAAATGAAACATCATAAGCATGTAATCTATTTTCCAAACTCAATAAATGCCTTCTACAACAAAGGTACAAATATGTTATGAACTATGTATTTTCTACACTGCACCACTACATCTGATGCACTATCCAACTTCAGAAATTAACAACGTAAAAATACCTTCGAAAGCAAAGTTACACTTCAAGTTATTTAGCCATTTAATAAGGCCATATGTCGGTCTGATTCTCTCATAAGAGAAGGGACATGGTCAAAGGAATACAGAACGACAAGCGTCAGATTTCTACCTATCTCAGCTCACTTATTCAAGAACTGCATTGTGAGGATTTCCACGCATATCATGAGAAGGAAACCTCATAGAAGATCAGTCTGAAGGTACTTTTCAGAAAGTTATTAAAAATACTCTTGGACTCTTCCTAACTGTCCTATTAGTATCTAAGGAGTGAAGCACATTCAATATTTTCAAATGTTTTCAAATACCTGCTTTGGTGTAATAGTATTTTTAAATGTTGTGCTGGTAATCAACAAGGAAAGTCAACATTTACACCCGAAACATATCAACTGGTTCTTTCCTCAATTACATGTTTTTCAAGTACCTTATCCTCTTAGAAGTTAGTACTATAGCATTCATGCAAGAGGTACAATACCTTTAGGAAAAATCTATAGTAGTCCAACACTGTATAAATGAATAAAATTCCTGCACTGTATTACTAGTTTTAATCAGCCACAAGAATAAAATAAAGAAAAGCATGACTTTTTACTTGCTCCCCCCAAAGAAGAAAAGGATGTAGGTGGGGCACCTAAATGACTCTAATTATTTGTTAAAGGTCAGGGTTAGCTTTTACCAACTGCATGAGGAAGCTAAGTATCTGTCACGTCTCTGGAGCACAGTCACGAAACTGCCAGTGACTAAAGCACAAATAAACCTTGGCTAGGACTCAAACTTGACTATATTTAACAATACAATACCTTTTTAAAGTAGGCAAATTGTAAGACACTAGATAAATTTATGCAAGATACATTCAATGCTGAAAAAATTTCAATGAAGATTACTGTTTGGCATTTGCTATGTGGTTTGGTAGTATGATCGCTACATTTGAGGAGTTTCTTCAATTTTATTTTTTTATTAAACTGCATACAGAATGTAAAGGGCAGATGGGCTGTGTAAAAAAAAAAAAAAAAAAAGAAAAGGCAATTTCTTGCCAAAGTCTTGAGAAATACCCCTTTGAAAGATGAAAACAATCTTGCTGCACTATAATTATTACTGTTGCTGAAAAACAAAGTGAGTTTGATAACTGATATGTTACCAGGATACCTAGTTCTTCAGGAAAAACTCTTATTTCCCTTGCGATGTTTTCTGTACATTAAGTGAAATGGAATTTCCAGCCTTGAAATACACTTACTGTCTTCTCACAAAATGAATGAGGCTACTTAATTCCAGGAAGTCCAGTTTTAACCTCAGAATTATGACAGAAAAATTTACTTGTCCATAACCTCCTCTTAATTAGCTTCTTCCTAGAAAATCCCTAAACAGACTAAGAAGTTAAGCAGGATTTCCCTTATTTAATTTTGGACATGTACAATATAATCTTAGCAAAAATATGTTTTTTTGTAGTTTTCTAGTGAGTTAACAGGGTACTGCAGAGAGATTATGCATAGAATCAATTTTTTTTCTGAGGCATAAACAGTTCATGTGCAGATCTGCCAGGCAGTTCTGCAGCAGTTGGTTTTAATGCTATGAACACTTACCTACGCATGCACTCAGCACTCAAACAATACTGAGATATTACAGTGGAGAATCAGGAGTTTCTTGATGCTGAGGAGTTGTGTGCCAAGGGTATTA